ACACAATGACATTTTGGCTGACAAAAGACAGCTTAAGTTTATAACTGGCTATCCCATATAATCTAGCTGTGTAGTAGGCTGTACCATTTGTTTCTATAATTACACTCTATGAGGTTTGCACAGTGACAAAAGTGCCTAATGATGCATTTCTCGGAATATATCCCTGTCATTAAATGATGTATGACTAGACTTACCAGGAGCCAGGGACTGTTCTATGTATTTTATGCTCATCATCTTACTTAAGGGTCCTATATGGTAGATCCCATTGATATCTCCACTTTACAAATGGGTTAAGAATTTGCTAATGTTACTCTGTTGGTCAGAGTAGACAGGATTTGAACTTGGAATGTGAACCAAATTCCAAACTTGAGACTTCAAGTCTAGGGGGACATGATACAAATTGAAACTGGGCTGCGCCTCTCCTCTTTCACCACATCCTCTTTCCTGCTGTGCACACATTTATTTTATTGCCCAAACCATTCTCACGTTATCATCCAGTACATCTGACCTTATGTCATCTAGTCTCAGAGAAAAATGGAAAAGGGAAGAAGCTGCAGCCCTCAAGAGAACACTGAAGAATTATTCAGGCCCAGAAAAAGCTATTTTACTGCCTGGTAGTCTCAAGAATGCCAAGAGCAGCTCAGCTCAGGTAATCAAAGTGGATATATTTGGAAACTGAAGGTTGAGGCTGGGGTGGAAATTTTAGGCTCACTGCAACGTGGGGAACCAGTAGAGTCACTAAGGCTGTTGAAGTGACATCTGAGCTTGATATAGGCTTATCTTCCTAATACTCACTGGACTGTACTAACCAGAGCACCACAAAGTAACAAAGGCACTTCACTCATCTGCAATACTAAAAGATGTTAAAGAGCTCCTCAGTGATTTTTCTGTGACTGGCAGGTGGTTAAAAATCTTTGTTTTCATATTTTAGCTTCCAAAAGAACTTGTTGCTTTAATGCTTAAGTGCTATTAAAAGAACATATATTCACATGTTTAAGTGACTTTCAAGGTTGATGTATAAAACCACTTCATTAAAAAAAGTTTCCTTGGGACCAGCAGTTAGCGTAATGGCTATGTCGCTGGACTCCCACGTAGTCAACCGCGGTTCGCGTCCCGGACCCGGCGGCTTAAAACTCACGCTGGGCTTGTGTGCGTGCATGCCCAAGGTCCTGAGAGAAGAATGAAGGAGAAGGGATTGTGGCGTGGCCATCCCCCCTGAGGGGTGATTTCTCGCTTTCTATCTCGCTGTCTCTCTCTGTCTTTCTGGCGAGTGCACGCGCCCTATAGCGAAAACCTCTCTTAAAAAAAAAAAAAAGTTATCTTTGAGGCCCGCAGATGGTGTGGTGGTTAAGGCACTGGACTCCCACTCGACTGGATGCAGTTGGAGTCCTGGACCTGGTGGCTTGCTTTCTCCCTTTCCTTCTCTCTCTCTCTCTCTCTGGCTAAATTAGAAAAAAAAATAATAACTGTAATTAAATAAATAAATTTTAATAAGTTATCTTGAATTACTTGAATAAATACTTTCTGGTTCATAAAGAGGATATGTTTACTTAGGGTCATACTGGGTGTAGGGCATTCTTTTTGATTGCTCATTTATTGTTTATTGAGTGCCAACAGTGGACAAAGCACATAATTAGGACTTGATCATTGATTCACTGCTCTTCTGTTTGTTTCAGTTTTTAAAATTAAAAATGGAAATGTTTTAGAAATTAAGAGAAGGTAACATGGCACAAAATTCGAGAAACTTTCTTGGCGACTCTTTGTTATGACTCAAAATATGAGTGGAATGTTAAGTTGCCAGTCTGAATACCATTTGTATTAGGTTTTTCTCTTCCCTTAAGGTAGGAAGTTACAGGTCATTAGGTTTGTATAGGTGCAAAGACTTTACAATATTGCTAAAGTAGTATTAGGAACTGAAAGAAACTCTTTGTCAATATCCAAACTTCCTTGCGCTGGGAGAAAATTTAGGATGATTAAGAAGGATGCAAATTTGATCAGGGCTGAGCTGGTTATAAACTGTCAGCCTATTCCAATTAGTGCAGGTTTGTTTCTATCGCCAGGATGTGGCTACTTTTTTCTATCCCAGGAAACTAAGAAAAAAAAGTATCACTAGATAGATTTGCAAAAGCCAGCAATATATACAAGAATCTCCTGAATTTCCAGTTTAAAAAGTCTGAAACTTTATTCTGGCAGCCCAAGCAAACTAATACAGGGTCTCTGTTTAATTATTTAGACTGTCCCCTAAAACTAGCCCCAAGAGACTAACCTTAAAAAATAATTGCGATACAGCAGATCCAGCCCCATTTTGCTTGTCCAAGAAATTGACTGGAAAGTAGTATATTGAAGAGAAGACTGTGAAAGGGAGTCCCAAAATGGTCTTTGCAAACTTGTGTATTTTCTAAGTTTTTTACAACTGATTATCATTCCTTCCTCCATTGTGTGCATTCCTGTAATAGTGACTAGAGCTATTTCAACCTTTCCGAATGATTTATTTAGTCAGTACCATATCGCCTCCCCAAAGCTACTAGGGTACAGAGAGATACTCAAAAGTGGAAATGTCACTGTCAATTTTTACAGGTATTTAAATTATAAAAATAATAATTTATTTAAAAAATTATATGGCAGAATGAGTTATCTTATTGAGAGGGTTTGATCACCTAGGAACCAGACATGTGGAGTCACATTATCTCTGCTTTAAAGATTACTATAGCTATACATTATGTATAGTTGTACAGAGTAAATGAAAATCATTTGAAAATACCCCACGTTACAATAATAAAAGTCAATTAAAATGATCTCTACCTACTGGGCTTATGGAGTTTAATTGACTCTTATGTGTTATCTTGAGACTAATAAAATGAATAGTTCTATGTGGTTATTCTCTGTGAGGAAACAACTGATTTCAAAGACCCATTTTTTTAGACTTTATTCTTTGTGACAAAATGTGTGATATCTTACTCTATATCAGTTCTACATGATCTATATTTAATGGCAGGAGAAAAAAGCTTGTTGAACTAACCAATATATTCTTTTCTACTAAATAATAATTAATGAAACATGTGAGTTGTTACTGAGCACCTATAGGTATAATTGCCAAGCTCTTTCCTACTGGGCATTAAGAGAATTTAAGTATGCCTTCAAGGCAATAACTAAAATGTGTTCAATAGGAATAATAGCTTTCTGTACAGCTGTGATTCTGTTCTAGCGACAAAAATAAAATACCTTTCTGCAAAAAGCATATCAATACTTTAATATGGCTATAAATATCCTTCTGACAGGGTGATATTTATGGACCAGGATGTCACTTTCATAGTGTATCCTTTGACCCAGTTTTCCAGGAAGACTGGAATCTTCATCACTGACCTCCAGAGCCAACAGCTCACCCTAGACCTTCTTAGACACTATTATATCTGACACAAACTGAGTCAGTCTTTTTTTTGCCTTTTCTTTTCTTTCTTTTAAAAATTATTATTTTTAGCATTCAATCACTGTGTATCATTACAGCATACCAAATGCATTTTCCTATCCTGAATACACTGTATATTGGTTCAATTAAGGATATTATCATACATACTATCATCGACAGACAATTTTCCATATTTGTGTTCCTTAAGTATTTTGCCTCTTTCTTTTCCCCCTGATTCCATTCTTTTCATGCTCCCCCCATTTCCCACTCTCCTCCCACCCTATCTCTGGCATCCATGTTTGTTCTCCATGCCTTTATATTGTCTAGTCTTTCAGTTTCTGTCATCAAGTGCAGACATTTGGTATATATTGAGTAGGGACATACAATGCCTCTCTTTCACAGTCTGGCTTGCTTCACTTAGCAGCAAAACTTCCATTATTCATCCACTTTCTATCAAATGCTAGAGTCTCATTTTTTTAAAAAATTTTTTATGGCTGAGTAGTATTCAGTACTGTATATATTAGATACCACCTAACTCCAGTCAGAATGGCTAAGATTAAAATAATAAAGAATGATAAGTGCTGGTGAGACTGTGATGAAAGGGAACTCTCCAACAGTGTTTGTGGGAATATAAACTAATACAGTCACTGTGAAGAACAATATGGAGGTTCCTCAAAGACTCACAAATAGAAATACCATATGACCCAGTGATTTATTTTCTTTCTAAAAATGTATTTTGAGAAAGAGAGAGAGAACCCTCAACAGGTTTTCCATGTCATCATGAACACCCAACCTCAGCCAGCCTTGGATCATGGGCATGCACATGTCCAGGGTGCTCAGGATAGTCCTTTAATGCAAATTCATAACCCTCCCATGTAGAAGTGATTTACTGCTGTGCCACTATCTGGCTCTCCTGTGTGTTCATTCTGACAGTGGAACAACCTGATAAAAAGTTGGGGTACTTGTAGATAGTTGTTTATAATCTTGTACCTCAACCCCAAAATCTTAGAATTGCCAAAGAAAAATAGGTCGTCCTTTCTCATTTCATTAATTCACTACATTGCACTTCTTCCAGATTCCCTATTGGGAATTACCCACTTATGCCCTTTCTTTCCACCATCCCCTTTTCCCTATGCCTACCATAGTCCCTCTTCCATTGCCAATATACTTCCTAAGTCCTCCAGTCTCTTCCAAGAACTCTTTCTTCTCATGTTTTTGCCATACCAGAAATTTGACTTGTAAGCCACACATGCTTTGGTTGCTTTTTATTCTCCCAATCCCACTTATTGTAGGGCTGGGAAGGAGATCAGCATTCTATTAAAAGCCCATCTCTGCTTCTCCATTCATCTTCTAACTTCTAGGAAAAGCTTATCTTCCTGTCAGGGTCATGCCCCTCCTTTTAGATTTTCTCTGACTTCTTGCTATGGCCTGATATTCTTACCCCGAGTATATATTCTCTCCTTTTACCTCAAATCTTGCCATCAGCCATGATATTTCTCTGGTGATTTAGCCCTCACTTTCTTGACTGCAACAGATTTAGTGCTCTTCACCCAACACTCTGCTTTAGCCATCTCCTCCATGGTTAAACCGTAGATCTTGTCATTAGCCATGAACATTCTACTTCAGGACTCTTAACATCTAATAGCCCATATTTTGTCCAAACTTTCCTTCTTCCCATTTGTTGCCATCCATTACACTGAACTTGTTTTCCATATGAAGACCTCTATAATCTTCCTTGATTCTTCCATTTTGTTTCGTTATCCCTCCTAGACTTTCCTCCCTCTCTGTCTATATTAGACCCGAAGGATGAATACTCTAACTAGCATGCCACTGGACCACTTCCTTGCCACCTTGACCTTTCCATGGTCCTGTCCAACGAAACCTCAACTCTGTATCAGTGCTATAGTCTCTCTTCTTTGTAGCAACTACTGTTCTCAGCTTTCATCTTTGTTTTTCTCTTGGCACTACTCTTCAACTTGTTTTTCTTATCTTTTTTTGGAGAAGTTTTTGCCATAGGGCACATGCGCTCGCCAGACAGATAGAGAGAGACAGAGAGACAGAAAACGACAAATCACCCCCCAGGGGGGATGGCCATGCCACAATCCCTTCTCCTCCATTCTCCTCTCGGGATCTTGGGCATGCATGCACACGCGCCAAGCCTGAGTTTTAAGCCACCAGGTCCAGGATGCGAACTGCGGTCGACTACCTGGGAATCCAGCAGCATAGCCATTACGCTAACTGCTGGTCCCCTTCAACTTGTTTTTCTACCTTTATTAGATAATTCTGCTTCTTTCTTTATCCAAAAAATTTAGCTTTAGGCTATGATATTTTCAATATGTTGCTCCTCTATGCAATCATAAGAAGACCCACATTTACCTCTGCAATCTTATAGGATGAAGCATCCTTCCTACTGTTCAAATTCACCCTTCTGCTTGTGTATTGCCTCTGTCATCTTTAGTGTCTCTCTGCCTGCTGCTCCTCAGCCTACAGACATGACAGAATCTCTCTATCCTCACAAATCCCAGATCTCATAAACAGTCATGGATGCAGCATAGCCATTACGCTAACTGCTGGTCCCCTTCAACTTGTTTTTCTACCTTTATTAGATAATTCTGCTTCTTTCTTTATCCAAAAAATTTAGCTTTAGGCTATGATATTTTCAATATGTTGCTCCTCTATGCAATCATAAGAAGACCCACATTTACCTCTGCAATCTTATAGGATGAAGCATCCTTCCTACTGTTCAAATTCACCCTTCTGCTTGTGTATTGCCTCTGTCATCTTTAGTGTCTCTCTGCCTGCTGCTCCTCAGCCTACAGACATGACAGAATCTCTCTATCCTCACAAATCCCAGATCTCATAAACAGTCATGGATGCCTGTCTCCTTGGAGTCACTTATCATTCTCTGATTCTCTCCTTATTCTAACTGCTAAGTGTGGTAATCTGCTCCTAGGCTCCATGTTCACCTCTGTTCACTTCAGTCTTCTACTTCCAACAGTCTATTTCTTCCATTTGTGTTGTTAATGCACTGTCCCTTATCAAACCTCAAGGAGACTAATTGTCCTTTTCTTGCTGGATATCACTATGGTACTTGACAATATGGAATGTTTCCATTCTCTAAAATCTTTCTTTTCTTCATTGACTTCTGTGATTATTTTCTACTTGCTCTCCTCCTACTGGATTAACTATTCCTTTAAAATTAATCTCAGGCCCAGTAGCAGTAGCATAGGCAGTAGGGCACTACTTCACAACACTGGAACCATGTGGGAATGATCTGGGGTTCTAATCCGTGGTGAACTGAACATATCAGGCATGCCCATGACCCTGGCTGGCTTGAAGTTTACAGGAGTAGGGTGACTGTGGCTCAGCAAGACCCTCTAAGGGTACTGGTATTCTTACTTCTCTTCCTTTTTCTCTCTATCAAAAAAAGAAATAAACTTAAAAAACAAAAACGAACCTCAGAATATCCAAATCTATTCAAACCTGTCTGTACAGTCACTCCAAGCTAGAAAACTTGGAGTCACCCTTTGACTTCCTTTCCTACCTACTATCCCACCAAGTGTAGAGTCCAGGTGGTTTTAGCTCTGAAGTATTTTTAAAAACTCTCCTCTGATCCCACTACTTTGGTTCTAACTCAAGGCCTTACTATCTCTTACTGGAACTATGATCATAGTTTCCTATTGCTCCTCTACCCTACTGATATGCAGCTTATTCGTTTCCATCCTCCACTGGGGCCATGCCATTCACAAGATGAGGCCTCAGCTTCTACTCTTGTACCTGAGACTTTCTACAATTTGGTTTACCCTTCCTGGCCTCTCCTGTATCTTTTCTTCCTACTCTGACTTGCACTTTGTACAGACACTAAACTACTATGCTGTGGCTTTCTTTGCTTGCACTGTCCTCTCTGCCTGTCAGGCTCTGGGTCTCATCCCTTGCCTGACTGCCACAGCTTCTGCAGAAAGACTTTTTCACCCTGCCTACCTACCCATCCTGTAGACAATGCTAGGCTGCTCTCTCTCTCTTTTTAAAAACAAGAAGGAAGTCTATGTTAACACTGTCACTAAGTGGGAACAACAAGATATGGCTGTTCCCATTCCTCCATTAGATTAATAAACTCATCCAAAGTGAGACTATTCATGTCACTTTTTCCAATATGAAAAATTATATATGAAACACTTTCATAAGCACTTAATAACCTGAATACAACTATCATTAATTCAGTTTAATACAAAGAATTTTATAGCAAGTGAAAAGGAATGCTTACTTGTACTGAATGTTGACTTCCTGTAGGAAGGCTAACAGGGCTCGAGAATCATTTTGGGACATATGGACATCAGTAACTGTTCCCTCTGATACATAGGAGATACTGCTGGGCTGCCACAGGTCCACCTGTAGTGCAGGAACCAACCTGTAATTTATATCCAATGTAGGTGGGGAAAAATCCATGTCACAATCTCAAACATGTTATTTTGTTTGCATACAGTAACACTAAACACATTTCAGGATTAGACTCAATGTGTCATCAAGGTAAGACACCTATTTAATTTGAATATGGACTCTAAATAATTGGGCTGTTGGAAAAGTCAAGATGTAATAATTCCTATACAAAAACATGTCATAACTTTTGCAATAACCCAATATATCACATCCATATAGAATTTGTTCATGATTTACAAGTAATATTTTGAAGACCAGTACATTAAATCCATAAGCAAAAAATGAGATAAATTAGTTTTAAGTATAACCTTGATATTTTCAAATTATTTATTGTGTAAATATCTGATTAACTATAAGACAAAGATATAAATTCCCCTTTACCCTATCACAGAATAAATTGGGGTAGCTTAATAGTTTAGTAACTTTAAATGAAAGAATCTCTAGGTAGCTCCTCCTCCCTTCTGCAAACCTTTTACTGATTCTAGATCAGCTTTCACACATCTCCCCTTCTGGGGGAGAACTTGGCAGCTAGAGTAAATCTCTTTGTTACATGAATAGTTTTTAGAACATCTATGCTTCTTTGGTTACAGGACTTCCTCTTGCCAGAATGTATGCTCCAGGAGGGCAAAGAATTTATCCATTTGGTTACCACCCATCTCAAGAGCCCAGAGTGATGCCTTGTGCATATCAGTAACTCAATTGTAATTTGTTACAGCCCGGACCATCTCTCATCCCCACCCCTACTCATCTCTGGACTTCAGGTTGGTATCTCGGGACTTTAACATGAACTTTAACCTCCCCCCACCCCACCTGGAAACCAGTTCAAGCCAGTGAGCAGTTCCAGACACCAGTCTGTCTGTGGCTGCAGGCTCTTAAGGCTGCGACTTGTTGCTCATCCTCTGCCCCTTCCTTACTTGCCTTTGGACTCTCTGAATTTCAGTGTTTCGCAGCATGATTTTTTTTCTTTGCTTTTGAGGTGTTGCTTACTAGGTCAGTTGGAGGCTCACCACTCCTTAGAAACAGGGAGGACTTTGAGTCACCCAGGACCAGTGATAATACTTCATGGTACTGGTGAGCAACGGGTAGGCCAACCATAAGAGAAATCACCAATTTTCTAATCCTACACACCTTTTAACACTCAGAGATACCTTAAATAAGTTAGGAAGCAATATATGAATGACTAGGAACAATCACAGAGGCTCAAGAAGTGTGAGCAACCAACAAAAGGCCTCTCCCCCAAGAGAGATCATCAAGCTGACATCCACCCATAGTCATTACAATGGATGTTGTGGACATGCTGGATAAGGAATTCAGAATATTTGTAGTGACAAAACTAACTGAGATGGAAGAGAAAAGAGACAAGGAGCTCCAGGAGATGAGGAAGTCCTTCCATCATTTGAAAGAAGAAATAGATACCTTAACAAGAACTGGATAGAACTTCTAGGAATGTGATACAGGAAATCAAAACCTCCCTTAAAAGTACTAAAAGTAGGTTAGATCAGGAAGAAGATTGATTCTCTAATGTAGAAGACAAAACATCTGACCTAGAAAAAAGTATCAAGAAGATTGAGAAAACAACCAAGAAAAACGAGGATAATATACAAGGATACCATCAAGCTCCCCAACATCCAGATAATTGGCATCCCAAAAGAGGAAGAAAATAATAAGGGCATAGATAATTTCTTTCATAAAATCCTGGAAGAAAACTTTCCAAACCTAGGAAGGCATTCAAATATCCAGACCCAAGAAATACATAGGACCCTGAGTAGAATCAACCCAAGAAGATGCTCTCCAAGGCACATTATAGCCATATTGGGAAAAGCAACAGACAAAGACAGATACTAAAGTTGCCAAGAGGGAACAGGCAAGTTACAAAGGTCACCCTATCAGGCTAACATTGGATCTCTTGGTGGAAACAATGCAGGCAAGGAAAGAATGGGGAAATATAGTCAAAGTGTTGAATGAAAAACAATTTCAACCTAGAATACTATACCTGGCAAGATTATCTTTCATATGAGAAAAAAAAATTAAAACATTTTCAGATAAACAAAATTTGAAGGAATTTATCAACTCCAGACTAGCTCTTCAAGAGGTTCTGAAGGTAGTGCTATACCAGGAAAACTAAAAAGTCAGACAGACAGTTATACAAGAACAAAAAGCAACCAAGAAAATGGCTCACTTAATGATAGGAACAGGTATGGCAATATCGATAATTACATTGAATGTCAATGGATTAAATTCTCCAATTAAGAGACATAGGCTGGCTGAATGGATGAAAAAAGAGAACCCCTCTATCCGTTGCCTACAAGAAACTCACCTTATGGATAAAGACA